AGCACAACAGCAGAGCAGCTAAACTTGTACTTCAGAGATTAAGATAATACCAAAACTTGGGCCAAACAATGAGGGAACTCTTGCCTGCAGTCAGGCTATCAGAGACTATGAAAATGGTATAACAAGGAAAATAAATGGGCCTTAGTTTTGCACTAACTCAAACAAAAACAGACGGAGGGCATGTAATGCAAACAAACATAAACAGCCAGAGTGTTAGTGACCATTACAGGGCTGATGTCCTGCTGGGGAGAAAACAAATGCTTTTCTAACAGTCAAAAAGAACGTGCACAAAATATTTTCATATGTAGAGAAGCTAAGGAACTTGCAAAAAGGAAACCACAAGGCTGCAATAGGTGGCTACACTGGTTCCTGACATAGGTTCTTTAAAGGCTGAAGGTGTTAAGATGATGGAGATGGGTTCTGCTGTCTTCTCTCATCTTTTTATTCCCAGGGGCTAAGGGCCAATATCTCACTTGTCAAGACAGGATCAAAAAGAAATTGATGACAAGCCCGAAAAAAAAAAAAACCAACAAATTAAAATCTAAAGCCCTGAGTGATGTGAGTCCAGACACCACCCAGTGCTGTGGGTGCTGGAGTTTCCCCTGAGCTGCCACCCCATTCACAAAGAAGTGCATAGGCAACAGAACAGCTGTTGGCAACGGGAGGAACAAAGACTTGAGTGACACGGGCTCCTCCTGTGAGGACTCTGGTTAATGGCCATATAATAGCATGTCTCAAGGTAGCATTTGCAGCTCAGGAACATAAAGCTGCACTTTTAGTCCTAGAGATCATTTTCCAATATGTTTTCTTTCTAGAACAAAAGCTCTTGCTTGTTCTTACAGCCATGAAATTCTGAGCTATTGATTCTCCAATTACTTGTGGACTCTGGTAAGCCTCGCTCAGTAAGGTTAGACTTTGCCTCAGTAATTCCTTCTTGGAATGTCTGGCAAGGAAGCACATTGAAAGGTACCACTAAACTTGTGAACTTATGCTGTTGGTGAGAGCTCTTACTGCTGGTAATACGTGGAAAAAAAAAAATCAGTGTGGTGATTGGTAACAGACCATCTCCTGCAGTGCTGTGTGCTTTGTGTCAAGTTAGCTGCTCCAGACTTCATCAGCTCCTTGGAAACTGCAGGCAACCAAGAATTTGGCAATACGAGAGTACTCATTTTCCTTCCTACCACCCAGAAAATAATTCCTATTAAATCTTTGCTCTTTAAGTGCCACCAGCTGTTTGTGTTGGACAGGATGTAGGAAGGGATAGATGGAAGCAGAAGCCAAGAGGATTTGAATAGAGGGTGAATAAGGTCATTAGCAGCAGTGTTCACTGTACCACCTTAGCATGCAAGCTGATCATAAATTCAAGGTACCTGTGAAAGAGGTTTCACTCAGGTTTAGGTTGGGATTTGTCCTTTTTGACTTTCTTATTCCTTAAGCTTCCAACCCCATGGAGAAGGACACTGCCCACTTCTGTCCTAGCAAGCCCTGAGTTTAAGTGCAGGATGCACAAAGATGGAAGCTGGCCAGCAGCACTGCAGCTGCATGAAAAAATAGACTACTGTAGTTCTCTGAACTATTTTAAGAACAATGACAATTCCTCAGCCTGTTGGTTCAGTTTGAATAATCCACTGCCTAGCCTAGATCCATCCCTTCCTGCCTGGTTTAGAGGACAGTCTGCACAAGATTAGATTGGATGTTTGCAGTGGGCATCAGCAAATCCAAAATGTTACCGTAATGTTCCAGTGAGAAATGAGAGTTTAAACAGACTGAGGTAGTTGAGTAGTAGTCACATAACTATTCACTACAAGCATTTCAGTAAAATAGTGTGGTGGTGTGCTACTTTAGCCAGTAATTACTGTCATCCACTCATCTAATCAAAGTGAATTTTGAAGCATTCAGGCAGTAAGAGAAATGCAGGTCTCGCTGCTTGGCCTGTCCATGGAAGGCAGTGGGGGTTTCACCTGGCTTACTGGAGCAGAAGCCAGCTGTGTTGGTGAAGCCAAGCCTGCAGACAGATCATTCTGAATGCAAACTCACAGGGCTTACAGCAAAATGGAGAGAACAAAAGTGAAGATAGCAAGGAATGTAAACTTTTAAAATGTCCCTGTTGATCCCGTACTAGTGTTCAAAGAAACAAGGCACAATGACTATAGAAACATGTACGATAACACAGAGGTCAAAGCCGTCTCTGGTTTGGTTTGATTCCCTTGAGCTGTGGCAGGACAGCAAAACCAAGTCTGAGCTACAAAGGGGAACCGATTTTCTCAAATATTCTACAAGACCTGAAAAATATGTGACTTGTAAATGGGCAGCACAGTAAAATCTGAGTCCTTTTCACTAACCAACTTGACTGTGTTGTTGCACCTGCCATCAGTGTGTAAGAGATGGCTCAAAGCAACTCAACCTGCGGTAGCCTCCTCACCTTCCCAAAAGGGTATGTGTACTTTCCCTTTCTGCTTTATTTCAATACCTTGTCACATGTTTTATAATTCACAGGTTGCTTGTGTGGAAATCATAAATAATTGTCAGCTGTTAGCTAACTGGGAGGCTTGTAAATGAGCTGGGTTTGTAAGCACACTGTGGCATTTAGTACTTCAGAAGTGGCAGTACAAGAAGGAATTTTAAATGGCCCAAGCAGCACAGCCATGTTGTCACCCAACCTAGGGATACCACATTCATCCGCTACAGAGGACTGTGGAAAAGCAGATTTTGAAAAGAATGCTTGGTTAAATCTACAGATGGCCCTTGGGAGACTCCTGACTCAATCCAGCCAGCAGCTGGGAATGAAGCAGAAGTACACCATGGCCAAAGTCCAGGAGAGCAGGGGCACACGGACCCAGTATCCTGGGTACTTAAGCATTTTATCTATTCCACGTGGCTTTGTACTGCTCTGCATGTGAAAACTGCTAATTCATCAGGCAAAAAGAAGTGTCTCCCATCAGAAAAAAATACAATGACCCCTGTTAAATGAGTCTTGATGGTTTCCCCAGAAACAAAGCTGCAGGTTTAAAAGCCACAAAGCTACCTTGGGCTGCTTGTGTTCTCTTAATTCCACTGAGAACACTAGAAAAGAGCAGAGCGGTTGTTGCTACATTAGTGACTAATATTAGCTCCACTACATGAGGAATTACTGGGAGATATCCAGCACTAGTCTGAGCTGTGCCAATGGGAAGTCAACAGTTCAAGTATGTACATATCTTTCATAGCTGTCAGTCTTCTGCACAGCAAACTGCTCAGCTCTGGGCCAAAGCTCCAGAGCTTCAATAGCAGGTTAGGAAACAATATTTCATGTGGTAACTTGAGAAAATAGACTTTCCTGTGAACCTGTACAACTCCAAGTGTATTGTGCTGAGGTGCTCTATCCACGTTGCAGTACCAGGGTGGCAGCTGTCTCGTTCAGTAACACTTCACAGCATAAGGAAAAATGCAGCACATGCAACTAACTTCCAATGCTTTAATTTATGCCAACATTGCATGCATTTCACATGCATTTGGCAGGACTGGCTGTTTACATACTCTGGGACTAACAGTGTGTAGAAAAGCATTTACAGCATCAGATTTGGGGGAGCTTAATACTGGACCTGGTTTGCAGCTGTTCATCTGTTGTTCCATGTTTCACATGGGGAGGAGGAGTTCTAACCCAACCGATTTATACTGTTCTGATGACAAAATTAGTTCTCTTACAACTGCAATGGTGCTGACTAGTTTTAGCCAAGCCAGCAGCTGTCCAGCTGTTGTGCTGCACAGCTGGCCCACCCCCACAGCCCAGCTCAGCTGGGCACTGCTGCTGCGCCGTGGGAGGTACAGGCTGGGCTCTGACACTCTGCTGCATGCAGGACAGGATGAGCGTGTCCCACAGCTATGGGAAAGGCCATGTGCACATTAGGAAACACACCAGCATTAAATGCCTTGTCAGTCCCTCCCTCTGCTCTCCGGGTAGCTCTGCTCCCCGGTTCTCCCACGGGCCATGACCCAGCTCTGGAGGCACTGCACTGAGCCACCCCGTCGGGGTCAAGCACTGAACTGTATTCCTCTACAGCTTTCCAACTTCCCTCCCCCAGCCTGCCATTTAATGCACAAACCAGATGTGTGTTTGGAGCTTTGCTATCCATCTTACAGCACAACTGAGGCAGTGGATTGCTGCTGAAGTCAGCAATGTACCTACAGAGAAGTCATCTGTACAATCTGCTTTGTTCTTCAACTGCTAGAATTACCACACAAAAATGCCAATGCAGAACTGCTGTGCTTCCTACTAGATTAGGATTAACCCATCCCAAATAACTCTGTGAGAGCAACTTCTTGCCAAATGGGGAGAAAGCCAACAGCCAAAGCCTCGGCCCTCCCACAGGGCAGTTTTCCTACTTCGGGTTAGCTCAGGGTCTCAGGAATCTGTGCAATAAAGTCAAAGTGATCAGAAGGGCCTGGGGCACGTCTGAGTTGGAGAGGAGGAGGGAAGGATTAGTTCTCCAAGGGCCAGAAGTAATGTGCAGCCCTGGCCAGTGACACTGAGAATAAGGCCAGCGCCGCGGTTTAGCCCCAGTGCTAAGGCTGTTAACTCAGAGCCTCGTTGGATCAGGACGTGTGGAGCAAGGGTACCCATCTTGACACATAATTTTAATAATAGCTTGTAAGTGTCAGTGATAATGTCATCTTTAACAGTGAGCCTAAAGAGGATCCAGAAGAGAGCATAATATGCCCTGTTAAAACAGCTAATCTGCATAAAACGTATGACAAGCCAGACCTTTTCAGTTTCATAAACTGGCTGAATATTCATTTTTAAGGCACTGTCCAAATCGGTTTGGTCACAGATAACTATTTAAAGCCCATTTCAAAGCTGGCATATACACCAGAGAAATAACATAAGAATGGGGGAAAACGCAACAATAACAACCCCCTGTGAAAGCAACGAAGATTGCCTCTAGCCAAACCCCTGACGTGAGCATCAGCGATAGCGGCGCCAACTCCGGCACAACATGGTATGACATTTGGTCAGTACTTACTGGCCACTTTTGTACAGGATCGGTGCAGGGCAGAGCAAAAAATCAGACTCCACTGTTTTAGGTTTTTCATCTGAAAAAAACAAATCACATGAGCTTACTATGCCGTGCTTAGATGAGGAGCTGCTGTGTGAACGTGCTGTGAGGTCCCTCCTTTCCTAATCTCCTTACTGGTCAGGTCGTGTCTGGAGCAGGCAGCAAGGCAGCCCAAGATAAGGAACATACAGCTTTAATGCCAGGTGAGCCCATGTTACAGGGTGTATTTTATTTAACTCAAATCAGCTCGTGCTCTTCTAGAGAGATCATTTCCTAGAACCAACACCATTTTCGTGGAGAATGAGAACATTATTAGGGGTTTCCTGGTAGCTGGAAGATGAAGGTTTGTTTCTAATTGGCTCCATCTGCATGTACAGCATTCTAGGACTGTTCTGTTAATTGTGACTGGAGTGTCTGTTTTTTTGGTGTTTCTTATGCTTTTGAATCTGTCATATGCAAATCTCTTACACTTATAAAGCACCTACTTGTCGAGCACCTGTGTCCAGCACAGTACTTTTATTCTGCACATGTGAGGAGGAGGGAGCTCTTTTACCTCATGTGTTTGATAAACTGGGGAAAATTCTCCTCCTGTGTGCAGAGCCATCCTCCCAAACTTTCCCACAGCAGGACTGGTAATTTCTGTACAGGGATTATGTCCTGATTACAGGGTGAGAGCAGATAAATGATCTGCCAGATCTGTGTGGAGATGACTGTCCTGCATTTTGGGAACAGGCAGACAGACAAGTAGTTCAGGGGCAGCTGAAGGAGGAGCTGTTGGCATAAATGAGTTTTTCTTATGTGCTATAATCTGCACTGACTGCTTGGCCTAGATTTGGGGCTAGTTGTGAGGTGGGGAAGAGGGATTAGCACATTGCCATATGTTTTTGTCTTAATGGTATGTTTCATAGATTATTTTTCTATCCCACAGCTCCATTTGGCAGGTTTCCTTTCTAGCATTTGGTCATGGTTCTTTATAAATGCAGAACAAGAAACATGCCAAATGCATCTTCTCAAAGCAGAGGCACTGGCACAGTGCGGGTGTGCTCAGAGGCTGGTCCCGAAGCGAGCCCAGGAGCTCAGGGAGGGGAACTCCAACGTGAGCACATCCTCACCTGATACCCTCTGCTGTGCCCTCAGGTGTGCCTCAGTCTTCTGGAGAGGAGAATGCAGTGACACGAGAATGATGGCCTTCTCTTGGGACTGTCTCCTTCCTCCTGCTACTGTTCCAAATGCCCTGCCTACCTTCCTGTCCACCCTGGCTTCACTGACCCCTTTTAGGCTTCCTCTGAGACAGAAGCACTTGGAGCCAGCACAGAGCTGTAGAGAATAAGATTGTGTATGGGGGAAGGACCACTTGAAATTCCTTTGTTTCCTTCCTGTGCAAATGTTTGCTGTTGTCCATTGCTAAAGGAGTGAACTGAGGGGAGATGTAGAAGGCCCTGGCAAGACCCCATAGAGCAGATTGTGTTTTTATAATCAATACATCACTGTGCCATTCCCCTCCCCTCGTGTGCTTCAGCACACCCCTTCCTGAAGCCAAGAAAAAACAAGCAGCCCAGAGCTGTAGTTGGCAATTCGCACATCAGATGCTAGTGAGTGTTTGTGGGCAATGGGAAACAGAGGTGACAATTGTAATGGAAACTGAAGCGAAATTTATACAAGCAGAACTGACTTGCACAGGCTGCCTGTACCCAGAACTACTGGGCTATCCTGTTATTCTGCCAAATTATTGTAGATATTTAACAGGCAGGAGGGATTGGCAGCCCATTCCAGTATATATGATATCCAGGGTAAAGACAAAAATGCACTGGAAACACAAGTTCAATTGGGTAGGAATTTAAGACAGGCTAATAGAGAAATCAGACTGTAGGGAAGGAAAAAATCAGTTGTACTTTTTCTACAAGTTCAGTTTTGGTTGCTTTCCAATCTGGCTGGCTTCTAAGGGATGCTGCTTAGAGCTAGAAGTTGGATGTACTTATCCTAGCCATCCACTTGAGTTTCTGGATATAAAAACCAAAGTCAGATAAAAGCCTACAGGAAAGTGCCTGTAAAAGGTACCACGGTCACTGTCTGAAACAGAATTGCTTTGGGATGTGGCTGCAGTGAGTCCCACCACTGGAAGAGAGTGCTGCTGGGCACACTGAACTGATGAACCATGGTGAAACACAGGGACAAAATACACCCACTGTTCTGACCTGGCCTTGTTCTGTGCTGTTGCAGAAAGAGGGCTGACTCTGTGTCACGCATCCCTGAAACCCACAGCACAGTGGCTCCACACCTGGCACGCCAACCAGAATGGGCAGAGACCTTCCAAGACAACAAGGTAAGTGCCTTTGGGAATTGCAGTGAGATGTTGTGGTCTGGGTGGTCTTGCAGAAAGGGCCCTCAGTCAGTACACTGTGGCCATGGGTTTGTTCATCAGCAAACATCTGTCTCCCTGATCATCAGGAGCCAACAGTTCTCACCACGTAATGCCCACAGCCAGCTGGGCTGCCAGCACCATTCATGGCACACAGCTAATGGCTCCTGGTGCCAAAATCAAACCCCTGAGCTAAGTGTGAAGTAACTTCCCTCCTATTTACTAATCCTCAGCGCTTTCCTGTTCTCCTCTTCTTCGATATATTTTTCTTGGGATTTTAATCAACTGAGGCCATGAGAAGCAAAATCAATCCCTGCATAAGAACTACAAAGGCAGATGATCTCTAACATCAGTACTTACGGATTGTAGTCCCATTCACTTGATAGGTACAAGTCACGCTGTCAGTTCTCCCACCAAGGGTTAAGCCGCTTCCTCTAAGAACAACTTGAAACTCCTCTGGAGAGAAAAGCAAAACCCAAAATCACTCAACTTCAGTAAGTTACACCAGGACAATTTCAGTTTAGTCTACAATAAAGGAAGCACAACATAGCAACGCTTCCAGCTTACTGAGATCTCCTTTTTACTGGAGCCCTTGTACTGGATTCTCCTTAGGTCACACTAGGGAAAATCAAGATTTGTTCCCAAATGTTTATCACTGAGGCAGCCCTATGAAACTGCAAGTGAATTCTGCCTAACAACAGAATATGGGGCTCAGTTGCATTTCTCAGTGAATGAGAAATCTGAGACTCAGAACAAGAACACTCCCCAAACCTGGACGAGGCTCATTTGAAGTGCCTCATGAAGAAAATCCTTCTTCTTAGTGTACTATTCCTCTGGAAATTGCCTAAGGGCCACACTATATCTGTGAGCTGCGCAGAGGAGGAGTGAAAACAGTTAGTTTACCAGGGCCACTGACTTCACCCAGATGATCTATGTTTTCACAGAAATATCCAAGTAAGATTTTGCAACTACCTTATTTTGACCGGTCTCCAACTATGAGTGGATTGTGAAACCCAGAAAGAAGACAACCCTTAAAATTTTCTGCAACTCTTATACTTCATAAATGTATTTTGCTGCCCAAAAATGCAGTCGCATGCTTTACTGCTTACATTGCAGAGATTTTGGGGCAGATACGGGGCAAGTGCAGAGCAGGAATCCTAGGAGAGGGACTGGTAAATGCTTTCCAACTTCCATGTGATTTACCCAAGCTGTGGAATCAGACCATGGCAGACACCCCCTCTAAGAAGGAGTCAACAGAGAAGGATATATCTTTCTTGAACTCCTTAAGGATTTTTTTTTTTAAGTTAGAGATGTTTTATTCTAGAGACATGCAGTTTTCCTTTGGGTAAAACAGGGAAATCACAGTATTATAATCATTGAATATTATTTTAAAATTATAAAGACTTACCTCCCGCACAGACACTGGATGGCTCCAAATATAAGATCTCAGTGCATGACTGTTTCAAAACCTATTGCAAAGGAGGAAACTAGTCATAAATAGGTTTCAGAGTGCTATTTCAGTGAGCAATATTACTTTAAAACAATTGCTTGTCCCTAGAAGACAGACATACACAGCTACAAGTTTGATTTGCTAAGACTTTGTAAGACATTGCCTGGAGCACGTACAGCTCCTGCAGGCCTGCAGAGTCAAGTCCAATTGTTCCTAAGGCTTGGATTAGTTTGTTAAGCCTGGGATAGCCTTCAAAACATAATGATGTCCGCATCCCTAACCTTATTTTCCATGAACCCCAATCCTAACGTTTAAGCCAAAAATTAGTCACAAGGAGCCTGATCCAAAACCTAATGCAGTCAAAAGCAGTGTTCCCACCGTCTGTGGGTGAAGCCAAGTGCACGTTACTCTGAGTGCTGGCCCCCTGCCCTCCACAAGGCAGTGCAGGGACGCGCGGTGTTGCCGACTGCGCTGCCCGCCGTCACACAGGGGTGGCTCACTTGGGCTTGCCCTGTCACAAGTGGTATTTCTAGCGGGTGTTCAGAAATACTCCATGGAAACAATTCAGGTCCCTGTAACCACGTGCACAGCAGAAAGTCCTGTTACTGTCCCCTCTCTACCTCTGTTTGCCGCAGCTGTGCCTTCTGCTGAGCTGCCCTGACTGCCTGGCAATGTCCCTCTTGGCTTACTCTTAACTCTTTCTGCCTTCTTATAGGTACAACTCTTTTTACTCTGTCTACAGTTTTTGCTAGTGATTTCTATTGCTACACATCCAGGCCCAGCAGAAACAATGTAGTTGCTGCTCTGACAAAAAGCATGCCAAGCTCCAAGAAATAGAATAGCCTCCCTCACTGAACACTTCCCAATGTTCCTCTCTCCCCACATACTGTTGTGCACAAATTATATTTTTAGTGATTTAAAACCCATTTGTATTAAGTAGTATTTAAGGAAAATAGAGACCTTGCAGGCACACACATTTGGATGAGACACAGCAACAGAAATCTTAGGAAAGAATGTTGAACTGTAGTTCAGTGCAAGCCAAGCAGTTTGTATGAGCTGAGGATCTCGCCTTGCTTCCAAAAAAGGGCTTTGGCTTTTTGATTCCTATTGCAGTGTGGAGAGAAGTTTCCCGTGGTTTATTTGGCAGTTGGGCAATATTTTGTGCAAAATAAAATACAGCAAGAATACAGCATTTTATTCCTTTGCTGTAACAGCATGTTCTATTTTTTTCCCTGAAGAGTCAGATGAACAGCCCAAGCGAAGCTGAGACTAGAGACAAGCCTTATGTGAAGCACAGATCCAGCAGCTGGCATTGAATACAGTAATTGTGGTTTTTTAGAGCCACATTATACAGACAGGGAGAACCTTCTGAACCCCTGTCCTGGCCCCATTTGCCCGGTGTCTGATGAAGGGTCCATGTTATGAACTGGGGGTCAGGGAGAGGGGAAGACAATGTGGGACAGGATCTGACGTCCCTTGCAAAGCAGTAGTTCTCTAATGTGCTGCATCCTAGGGTGAATTTTCTAACACTTTGCTTCAAAATGCAATGCAAATCAGGAAAGAACCTATTTGGACATGCTGAACTCCCTTTGGATTTAAGCATAAACTGGGAGGGGCAGACATAACAAAACCAACTGAGATGAAATATGGCCTAGACGAAATGATCAAAAATCATGAACAAAAGGAATTTTCACTATAGGGTTCAGGATACACTGATTTCCTGCATGGAATCCGTTTATACACATGTAGATGTGCTGCTCTTGACTAAAGCAGGAAAATACTGGAAACTGTTCTTAGAAATAACTGCTTTGACAGTAATTTTTCATAATTTTTATTACTGCTGTTCTCTGCTTAGCTTAAGCACGCTGTACTGTTCAGAGACCCTCAGCCTCTTTGCAAAGGGGGTGGTCTAAAACTGCCATTTTGCCCCAAACAAAGCTTAAATTAGGAGGAAAAAAAAACCTGTGGAACTACTAAAATTTGGGTTTCTAAGTTTAGCAGGTTCTTTTCCACTCTTCAAAAAGCTTTTTGATAGTCCACACTTTAAAGAAACAGAAGGATAATGGTACAGAAATCTGCCTTGTTGCCATAAACCCCTCCCTTCAACAATCAAGTCAGCTTAAAAAGCAGAAATCAAACCTTGTAAAGGATTAATTGGAATCAGGTGGAACCAATCAGAAGCATATAGAGAGCACTTTGTTTAACCCTTTATGGTCTGGATTCTCTTCAATATCCCCTCTAAACAACAATGAAACACTGTTCAGAACTACATTTTGCAACAGTCACATAAAAATCAGAACACTCTTTGCAGGGTCCAACCCACAAGCTGTACCAAGCACCAGCCATGTGAATGGTTTGGCTCACAGGGACTCTGCTGCCACAACAGAAAACTGAAAATATTTTCCAAGGCAGTAATCACTGCTTGTGCTTTCACGCGTGGAGAAAAAGCACATATTTGCACATCCTAAAAGAAGGTACAGAAACTTGAGGCCTTGCTTTATTCTTGCTCACTCTTTTGTATCTGTTTTCATCTTTCTTCCCTTTCCATGCAAGCTATTCCTTCCCAGACAGCACAGGGCACTCCAATAGACAGTTCATTTCTCTTGGGGACAACTGATGTGAAGGCATCTTACCCATTTTTCCCGTGATCCATGTGCATTATTTAATGTGCCTTCATCCCCCTGCCCTTTATAATTTAAAACTAACTTTAAACTATCCTGTTGTGGAAACCTGGGCTGCAAAGTCAGCAAGGTCAAAATGAACTCCACAGAAATCCATACAGCGCTTCCCCTTTCCCAGTTCATTATAATCCAAGACACCACAAATTTGTTATTTAGAAACCTACTGCTCACAAGAAAAGTTGAAATAATCACTATATAAGGCCATCCTTGGGTAGGATAGTTAAGCACTCTGCTGACATAAATTCAAATAAGACTATGAATTGCCTTAGTTTAACAGCATGCAGTGAGAGATTCAGAGAATTTATGTCATCCACTTGATTCCAAGAGCTTCACACCAAATATAGGACTCTGCTCCCAGGCTCGCAAAGGCTTTTCTACCATTCCCCCCCTTTCCCACTCAGTGCTGGCTGGCACAGAGAGAACCAATTCCCTACAAACCCACGTGCAAAACAGCGCAGAAACCTGTCAGTCCTGTTGTCCTGCGGCTTCAGAAATGGAGATCTGTGGAGAAACTACAGGGTGCTCTTCTCCTTCTGAAGCAGAACTGTGCAGTGCAGGACTGGTTCAGCTGGAACCAGAGCCTAATCAAAGTAAAGAGACCACAGCTGTGACCTCCTTAGGAATTGTGTGGCTGCACCACAACAGAGCCCTGAGGAAATTACTCAACAGCTCCTTCATGTACAGGACTTGTTACATTGCAGCAGCCACCAAACATCTAAGATTTGAAAAATGTTCCGGTGCTTTCTAGGACCAGTTGTTAGAGCAGCCACCCCAGGAACACAGCTCATGCTCCACGCTAACTCTGCCACCCCACACTGCTTCACAGGGCTGGCTCGAGGCAGAGCAGCCTCCCAGCGAAATCCCTTCTCATGGCTACTTAGTGAATGGACACCCTACAGTCTCTACAGCAGCTCTTAGTAAAGCAAGTCAATCACTTCAGAACACTTCTGAGAGCAGAAGTTACCAGAGTAGAGGCAGCCCAGATACCCATGGGGGCTTGGAAGCAAACTCGCTGGCACACGCTGCCCAGCTCCCTCTGTGAGCACTGTGGCTATTCAAGCAGGAGCTGCTGGGCTCCAAACCAGTGAAATGGGGGCATTTTCACTGTAAGTCCCACTGTCTGTCACTTGTCTCCATCTCAGGCTATTTCAGTGGCTTACAGGCAAGCATATGTAAATCCTCTCAAAACAGTTGTAGGAAGTTCTTTTACCAAGTACATTCATTCACTTATCAGAAGCTTTATCAGCTTTTCTGTTTGGCACCACTTTTCACTAGTGCATTTTTTTCCTGACCAACCCGATTGTGGATGAGTACTTAGAATCCATTTCCACCCTCGTGGATTTCTATGCACTTCCCACTAGAAGGTTCCCAAAGGCTCACACAAAGTTCTCAGTCCACCTTCTGACACAGTAGGTTCCCATTTTTGTCATTACTAACACATTTCCTCCCAGTAGAGCTGTTTCACAGAAACACCATCCATTTCTGACCCACAAGTGTCCAAACTGACCACAGGCTCCAGTTTTGTCAGCTCTAAGCTGCAGAAACACCCCACCCACCCAAATCGTGCCAGTAGCACAGAAAGGGCAGGTGTCCCTGCAACATGCTGCAGAAAGGCGGCAAAGTAACAGGCTGACATCAGGCTCCTCAGGGCTTGTGGCCTTTGCAAACTCCACCTCTGTTTATCAATCTTGCCTTATCTTGCCCCTGCTGTATGCCAACATTTCTTCACATGGCAAATGTGCCTTCTGGACCTTCCAGGACCTCTTTAACCTGGCTCTGCTCTGACTCACTTTTCACCTTTGCTGTTGCCTCTTACAAGTTCTCGACACTTTAACAGGGAAGCAGCAACTTTCTGAGTATTTAGCCTGCCACACCCTGGGAACATACTGTGGAACAGAGCTGTACCAGGCCCCACAGTGTTACATGCAGGCTAAAACAACAACTTTCAGCACTCTAAGGGAGGTTATGTTCCAAGAAATTGGGAGAACAATGCACTAGTAATGAGCTGTGAGCAGCCCAACTGTCTGGTGACAATAAAAACGCGTGAAGTGTCAATATATCTCACAGAACCACTCGTTTTCTTAGCCCCGTATGCAGTTAAAAAGTTTTTGGTAGCAGGCAGCACCATAAATTGTAACTTGCACGGCATCTGCTCCTGCCCAGCACTGTACACTACACTGGGTTCAGGCTTTGGGGTGGGTCATCAGTACAGCTGCATTCTTTACTGAACCATCATAATGATTTTAAGTCTAGAAAATGTTCTGCAGTTGACTAAGGTGTTTAGTTCCTGGGACAGAGGTCAGGATAACCAGAAACTGCTGGAGGGGGACAGCTTCTG